AGGGGTCCGGCCGGGGCACACCGGCCGTGGCCGAGCTCGCCGGGCCTTCGTCCGAGCCCGCCAGCTGGATGCTTCGCCATGTTCGCGAGAGCAGCTGCCGCTCTGGCTTGATGGGCGAGAAAATTCGTAAATCTCGAGGAGGTTCTTGACTCCTGTGTTTTTTTGCCAGCGCCAACCTTTCCGAGCAGGCAGTGTCTGAGATGTGGGTCTCTGAAACGGTCGTGAAAGGCAGCACTGGAGACGCCTGCCCGTGCTGAGCAAGTTTGACTGCTAAGTCATCACCTTGTCTTGCAGCTCTGTTTTGGAGGAGCTTGTGATGTTCGTGATTAAGCTACAGCTGATAGGGCAGAAGATGGTCATGCTTAAAAATCTTTTGCTGGTTTGAAAAGCAGTAGGTTTGTAAGCTCCAGTTTATGTATTTGCATATAAGGTGTAAGAATGCTATCCTAGCACTGTTTGGATAACATCTAGTTTAACTTTTTAAAGTTGATAAACTAAAAGGTTTTTTTCCCCCCTCATCTTGCATAAAACTCAAGATGTGGTTGTTCTGTATGTCTGGGACATGTTAGGGTTTTGCCTCTGTACTATGGGGCTGCAGAGCTGTAGCAAGCTAAAGGGTGTAGTCTTAAAAGCTGCTTATCACAACATTTTTTTAATTTGCCAGACTCTTTCTAACAGACTCTCAATTCAGGGCGATTCCAGACAGAAGACTGAGCTGTGTACATCAGTTATGGGGGAGAGACTGAGTCAAAGCACAGCTGTTAAGGAAGTAGGGTTTGTGACTTTGACAATAAAAAATAAGAAGGTGATATATGGTCAGACCTACTACTGTTCAGCATGTAAGCGTTGGATAAAAGAATGAAGTTCTAGAGTTTTGGTTAGCTATAATAAGGGTCAGTGCTTGGTTGGGGGTGGAAAGCATGTTGGAGGAAAACATTATCACTTGAAGGTGGTTGTCTCTCTTCTCTTTTTTGAACTGAGATGAATCTCCTAAGTCTGGCAGTAGAACAATGCTTGTAAATTCTAATTACTGAGGCTCAGGTAGTTGGAATTGGAGGATAGATCTGCATTAGTATTTTAATTCGCATAGAGTGTGGTCTTGAAATGAGTTCCAAGCCATCCTTACTTGCTGCACTTCACTTCATGCCACAGTGTGATCTGAGAGTGTGTGAACTCTTTTTGGAAGAAGGCAAAACTGGAAGGTGCACTTCAGTTGTGGGTGTTGTCAGTCTAGACAAGAGCTAGTGTGAAATAAACACACAAAATCATATCTAGTGTGGATCCACAATAACTGTTTATTCCTACAGAGTTGCTGCTTGTTCTGTATTTAGTTCTTAATGTAGACATAGACTGAGCCTACCATCAGTAGAGCAGGTAAGGTGAATAAAGTTGTAGCACAGCAGCACCAGGGATTAATCCCTAACCTTTCAGGCCTGTAACTCACCAGTTGCCTGAGCTGCCAGACTCAAATTTTGTGGCTTAAAGACTGTAGATCAGCTACAAGGAGAACAGTAAACAAAACCCCACATGAAATAATTGTCAACATTGTCAACAGCTTTTTCAGAAAACTTTTTTCAATAGCTCAATAGTTTCAGTTTTCAGTTCAATGATTTTCATTACTGGATGTTCCCAAACTTAAAATCTTTCAGAAGTGTTGTAGCAGCATAAAGGTAAATAGTTTTCCTTCCTGTAAGGGTTTAATGATTTAAATGGGTAAAATAAAGCTGTATATTTGCTGAAACAGTGACTGGGGCTTGTTGGCATTTATTGAATTACTTTTCCCGTCCTACATTTCCCTAGCCTTTGTGGCAATATAATGAATTAATGTCATGCTTGTGTTACCATCACTGTATTTGGGATCTTTCTGTTTTGTCTTGAGTGAGTTGGTTTAAAATGTTCTGACAGGTTTTGCTCTCTTAATCATCTTCTTGGGGCTCCCTTTGTCAGTGAACCAGCATGGTGTGTTTCCATATACTTTTTTAAATCATCCTGTTCGCTAAGACAGTGGTGATTTGAGTGGCTGGTGTCTTTTGTATGTCAAGTAACTGAAGTGGGTTATGGGGATAAGTTAGACAACTGATTGCCACTGCTGTACAGATTTATTTTTTAACTTTGTTTTCCACCTGTTGCAAATTATGGAGCTTTTCACTTGCATCACTTCATTACAGCATTTAGTTTCAAGTGTTCTGTGTTTCAGGGTAGTTTCAGTGACATGACTGAAAAGCAACAGAAATGAGAAAATTGTAAAATTTGTATAGGTAGCAAAAAATGCTTTTGTGATTAATACTTTTTTAGCAATACTTTTAATAAAGACTACATATTGCCAGCAGCTGTGGTAAAGTAACTCCCATTTTTCCTTTTGACTTTCCTGTGAATCAGTTTTCTTCTGGATTAAAGGGAATCATCAGTTTAAATACCAATCTGCAGGTGTTTCTAGATTGGAAACTAGTAACTGATCCCATGTTCTCAAAACAAGTCCAACCTAAAAAGCTTACTAGAAATGGGTCTGTAGTGTGTGTAGAATCAACTGGAAGTTGCAAATTTGTCTTCTAGAGCCCAGTCTTGATTTTTTTTTTTGTTACATAGAAAGACTAATGTATTGTGTGAAAGTCTGTAAAATAACAATCCTTTCAAAAACAGTGGCAGAGAGTTGCAACCTCTTGCCAGCAATTGCACTGTTATAATGTAAAAGCCTCTCATCAATCCCCCTTCAACCTGCACATGCTGAAGCATCTGAATAAACTTCCCGGCGGGTAGTTAAGGTTCTTACAGCTTGGGATTGACTTCAGTTAGACAGGGCCTTAGTGCTTTGCACATCTTAAGGGCAGAGGGCAGGAGGAGTCATGTCGGAACACTGACACCAGTTTAAGTTACTTCATGTGGCAGAAAAAATGCAAGCCATGTTTGAATTGCTCTCCCTGAAAACTTTCTTCTGACTTTTATTTTAGACATGGGAAAATCACTTTCTCACCTGCCTATGCACACATCTAAGGAAGATGGCTACGATGGAAGCACAGTGTCTGATAATATGAGGAATAGGTTAGTTCACTCGGAATCGCACAATGAAGATGGCAGATGTGGAGATGTATCGCAGTTTCCCTATGTGGAATTTACAGGAAGAGACAGTGTCACCTGCCCGACTTGCCAGGGAACTGGAAGAATTCCACGAGGCAAGTTTCCTTTATTTCTTTTTTTTAGCCTGTAAATTTACCTCTTAACCATGTGCAGTTCTAACTATAATAATCGATAACAAATAGCTCTAGTCAAGTCAAGATTAAGTTTTTTCTTCTTGACTTCTTAGCACTAAGCATTTCATTGTGATTACACCAGATGAACAAAACGAAGTCAGCTGTGGCTGTTAACATTTGGGTCTTTTTCTGTCTGTACAATGCCAGTGTTTATTACTTTTCTGTTTTATATTCGCACATAGCCCTAGGACTCACAAGTTGAATTTGCAAACCTTTATTTTTGTGACACTTTATTGCATCTTCTTTTAACTACCTATTTTAAGCTATTTGAATCAATATATTAACTTTTGTTATTTCAGGATATCTGAAGCAGGGCAAAAGGAGAGTAGCAAATGCAATGTGCCAAGGCACAGCCTTCGGCTTCAGCTAAAAGATCTTCCCTTTGCGGGGAGGAACTGATGAGAAGGTTTGATGCTTGGTACTGCTTTGCTTTTGCCAGAACTCTTCTTCAAAATAGACTATTGGGTGTAAAAGCTCTGTTCACCAGAAGCTCGAGAAAATCAACTGATGCCTGTGTCATATTGTTCTTGTGCCTGTGCTTCAGTCAGATGAGTGTGGTATCGTCCACAAATACTTCTGTTCCCCTGCAAATAAGTGGCAGGGGACACAGTATATTTAAATGGTTGCAATTATCATAAGAGATTTGGTTTTTAGTTGTTGAACTTATTCAAAGAATACCACTGAGTTCAGTAATACCTCTGAATTCAGCAAGTTTAAAGTGTGGAAAAGCTATGCAACTGGAAAACTCTTAGCTGAAAGACTATAGAAAAGGAAGTTTGTTCTGTTAGCATGCTAATGTGAAATACTTGATAACATCAATGGCAAGTTTTACTTGAAATAGTGCTAGCTAAAATGCAGTAGTACTGGGACTATGTTCAAAAGCTTATTTCTTTGGCTATAGGATTCCTGGATGTAATATGTAAACAAATGTGAATTTAGTTAATTAAGCATTTTGCAGTAGCTATTAAAAATGCATGTTGTCCGTACAGTCTAATGCTTTAATGGGATTAAAGCTAGAGCTTTACATGAGTTAGACCAAATAGGGCTGTCTTTTTTTAATTATTAATCAGAACTTTAGGGGGGAAATAAAATCCAAGTTTGGGTTTATTTGATGGGAGATGGGAAAAATTAAGTGTTCCCAGAATGACTACATGACTAATAGGGAAGACTGTAACATGTGATATTATGGCTAAACTGTGTAACAAACACATGAAATTTCATTTGGTTACTGGGACAGCTTTAGCTTTTCAGTATGATAAACTATGAAAGTAGGACTATGCTGTTTTGTTTAAAGGCTGGAGATGCTTCATTGAACTTGAGATGAAAATCTGTTTTAAAATAGTAGAGTTTTTAGACAGTTGATGTTACATATTACCACCTGCCTAGTTAGCATGCTTTACTCAGTGATTCAGCATGGATCACTTCTAAGTGGTTGATTAGCTAGCTGATAATGCTGGTCAGATTCTACATTTGACTTAAAATGCAAATCTGGTTTGGTCTTGAGGCCTTTTGTTCTCATACAGATGAATCTCGATTCCATTTTCTTGTGCAGCAAATAGCAAAAGCTATAAAGGCGGATGTAGTCTGTGTATTTGCAACAGGTCATCTATGCTTGTGGTTTTTTTTTATTTCTACTCTTAAGATTATCCCCCTTTTGAATATGCTGTGTAGTGAACTAACTTGTTGCTTGGAGAAATTGCAGTAGATAGGTTATTGGCTTCCAGAGTGCTGCAGCTCAGACCCATGAGAAATGGTTGTACAAAGCTGTGATTTCTAGAATGCAGTGTATGTATAACTTGTGTTGCCAAAACCACCCAAACTGATATGTGTATTTGTTCTTAAACAAACCTGACTTCTTGTCAGAAGAGAACATGTAGGGTGCCTTCTGGATCAGTCGTTACTACATCAGCTTCTCAATGTTTTTTCCTATAACTTGATAGGGTCTGGCATAGAGAGATGGAAGCTGTTGTGTACGTCTGTTTCTCTTGAAGAAATGGTGCCAGAGGCAACGTGCCTCCTGTGCCCATATGCAGCATAGCGGCAGAATTTGTTGCTGTTTTGGTCTTTGTGGGCTTCGTGTTTTTTCCTCTGTGTTGTGTAAGCCATGATCTATTTAACCAAGTGACATACGCTACAGAAGTATTCTACTTAAGCCTACCTGGAATTTAAATATTTATCTTTAGTGTTTATTCTTTGGTGCTGTAAAGTTACAAGGGGCACTCTTTGTTTAAAGCAACTGTAATAATGCTTATTCTTTGTTTGTTTAAATTCTGAAAGGGTGTTTTTGTTTTCAGGGCAGGAAAATCAGCTGGTAGCATTAATTCCATACAGTGATCAGAGGCTGAGGCCAAGAAGAACGTAAGTTAATAGTGACACATGAATCTACAGTTAATTCTTTACATTGGTGAATTTTAACGAGGAGAGTGTCAAGAATCAAGCAAAAATCACTGGAATGTTTTCTTGCATTCATTAAAATAACTGTGCTTGTCAGTCATGTCAAACTTAACCTCTGACTCTTGGAGAATTATTTATTAACAGGTGTGCATACTCCCACCACAGTATGTCTTATGAAGCTAAGTATATTGTATGATCTTTTCACGTGGATATTTATCTGAATGTAATTATGCAGACATTTCTTGATCTCTACAGTATCTTAATTGATCTAAACAGATACTTCTTCAGTGTTAAAGTCTGAGTTAAGTGGTAATTTTTTGTGCTGCTACTACAAAATAAGTCATGTAGAAATTCACTTGTAAAGGTCTAGGCAGCTAACAAACCCAACAATTTTTGTCATTCTGATATAGAATACATAAATTTGGTGTGTTGTTTTTTCCTAGGATCTACTTAAAGGTTCATTACAGTGCTCAGGGCTTCTTGTTCAGACACTTCTTGCATTGGGTTTTTTCCCTTAATGTTTGGATGTTTCTGTAGTAAATGGAAATGAGCGCCCAAAAAAAAAAAAACCCCACAAAAAAACACCAAACCAGAAACTTCAGCTATATGGTCCCGGGTAGTATTATGTGATGCAATAGTAGTACAAATTTGAAACTTATTACTTAAGTAGTTACTTTATTGTTTTAATTTTGAGAAAATTGGAGCTGCAGTAGAGCTTTTTAATTTTGTATTTTTTTATTATCATACACTTATGCACACCTTTTATATTAGGCTAATTGTGAGTTTCCTTATTTCTTGGCAAGAGACTAACACTTTCCCTAAAAGTCTCTTATGACAAAGAATCCTATGTAAGGCATATAAGAGCTTTATTCTTTCTGGGTGTGTTGTGCAAGAGTCACGCAGAATGATAAAAGTTCTGCTATAAATAAGTTTTAAGAGGAAGTACTGATGTTTTAAAGCACAGATATTTACCTCTTCCATTTCCCTCTTTAAGTTACAAATGTTGGGTTAACCACATGTTTTGAAACTTCATTTCTGATGTAGAGAAGGATAACGCTTGTGAGACTTACATGTGAAGTGCAGCCTAGCTTTTTCCCCCCTTTGGAAGCTAGAAATAGGCTGAACCAGTTGTATTGACTAATCATGCTCCTTATCACTTAAAAGAAAATAACATGCCACTATGGTTTAAAGTGCTTTTAACTCTGGAATATGCTCTTTTTCTCCTCCAGAAAGCTCTACGTGACTGCTTCTGTAATTGTATGCTTATTGCTTTCTGGACTGGCTGTATTCTTTTTGTTTCCTCGCTCAATTGATGTTGAATACATCGGTGTGAAGTCAGTGTATGTCACTTATGAACAAGGTAGACGTATAATATATCTAAATATTACGGTAAGTCTAGCTGCATGTATACATTACAAACATCTAAACACATAACAAGAAATACTACTGTGGCAGTTTAATATGCTTAGAAATTGAGGTCTAGCTGGTAAGCTGAGTTAGTGCCTGTGCTTGGGCTGCAGCTCTTGGGCTCTCTGGGTCTGACTCTCACTACTCAACACTTGTTGTGCATTGGTCAGTGGGTGGTGAGAAATTGTATCATATTGTATCATATGTTTTCTTTGCTGCTATTTTAATTATTTGTTAGTGGTGTTTGTATATATTAATTTAGATTTAATTAGTAAATAGTTCTTATCTCAATTTTACAAGCTTCCTTATTTCTTTTTCCTCTGATTCTCCTCCAGTGGAGGAGGGGAAGGGGATTTGTGAGAGCAGCTTCGTGGCATTTTGTTAGCTGGAGTTAAACCATGACAGTGCCTCCAGAAATACAAGCAGATACAATGACCAGTTTGAAAAATGTAACTGGACCTATTGTAGCTGGTTCTGTAGCTAATAGAGGTGTAGTTGCAAGCTACCGTTGGGTGTTCTGTTTTCATGGGAACAGTGACTTTGGAGTTTTGTGCGTTATTTTTTGGTATGAGTGAAGTATGTGTGTATGTAGCAATGTTAAGTGCTGTCCTGGTATTATGCATCAGTCAAAACTGGTTTTGAGGAAAATGATTTCTTGACTACTTTAAAACTAGTTCTTTGCATGTGCTTCTTGGTAGTGCAGTTAATACAGGATTGTCTAAAGACTTTTTGTAGAGTTTAGAAATAAAGAAAAGCAGCCATGAGAGAAAAGGGTCCTGTGATAGATAGTTAACTTTGCTTGAAGGAATAATTGAGCATATGGAGAAATGGTCAGTATTTGCATTGGAGGGTAGCTATGCAGAAATTTGTGCTGCTCAGTATGTTCACAAAAAAAAGGGGGTTAAGTGATGGTCACTTAGTCCCCTCTGCCCCAGTCCTAGAAGGCAGGAATATATACTTGCATGATTTCAGGTATTACTGTCTCAGATACAAATTTTAAAATGTGTGCTCATCAAGATACACTGAATGGATAGCAGTTAGCCCTTGGCTTTTTTTTTTCCCCAGAATACGCTAAATATAACGAACAACAACTACTATTCTGTTGAAGTGGCAAATATTACAGCCCAAGTTCAGTTTTCAAAGACAGTTATTGGCAAAGCACGGCTAAACAACATCACCAACATTGGTCCTCTGGATATGAAACAGGTAAATAGGACAGGCTTTCCAAGTTGAGTATGTGTTTATCTTTGTTTAGAAATCTACTCATTTCTGTGTTTGTTGGTTTTGGTTTTTTTTTAGATTGACTATATGGTGCCCACAGTCATACAAGATGAAATGAGCTACATGTTGTAAGTGTACACATCTCTAAATATCACATGGGTCTTACTAAAAATTAGTGATGCTGAAAAACTTTTTTCAAAGTCATCAAAAATGTATTTGCAGAGATGTTGTGGCAATTTCTTTGCGTGAGTTTAATGGTACTGAAAAAGTACTTAAGCCATGGTTATTTCAATAGTTTCGTATAGTGGCTTTCTGTACCTGACTCAGCAATTTGAATGGTATCTATCCAAATGTTTTAGGCCTTGGCAGTAGCTAGGACCCACTGCTTTGGAGGATGAAAGCGCAGGTGTGTTCCCCTGACACATTTTCTGGTAACTTTCCCACAAATTTCTCTGGTAGTGGAGGGAATTTGTATGTAATTCTATACCAACTAAAGGCTAATCTGTATGTTTTTCTCCAGACCATGTGTATACACTGGTAAGTGGTGTTTGCAACCCATGCTTTAAATTTTAAACTGTTCTGTTCATAGCTTCTGAAAGTTCGTTTGACCAACAGACCCTTAGCTCAGTATATCTTGGTGACAAAACCCAATGTTAATTCTCTACCACTGAAAGGCAGACTGAACAGGAAGTTAACTACTGAGATGTCAGGTCTGTGTGCAGTTCCCGTAGATGCCAGCCCCTTTGGGATGGGAGAGAGCCTCATAGCTTTGAAGTGTTTGAAATAAATTGAAATAGGTATGAAATAGCAAATTGGGCACTAACTTGAAATAATCAGAAAGTGTACTTCTGTCACCTTTTAAAGGCATGTAAGTTAGCTTTCTGTAAACACTGAACTCCATGAATCTGCACAAGGAATAAATAAATATGGGCTTCATAGAAATCATGCTGATACCTACCTAGTTGTGCTTTTGGTGTAATAATGCATTGGTACTTCTTTCATGGTCAGTACTGTGACCTTAATTTCAGTAATGCTGGTGAGAGTCTGTTCCCAACAATAGCTGCAGCTTTTAACTGCAAGCTGGTGACTAACCTTAAAACCACCTAGATGACTTTGGATGTGTGGAGAGATGCAGACAGGTAAAAGCTGCTGTGTCTGTGGCCTGAACTGAACGGCTTTCAGGCTATTGTGTTCGATAGCTGCAGTCTTTGCCGTAGTGTGAAACAACAACGTGCTTGCTGGTCCAGGTTGGAAGTAGATTGCATAGTCTTGGAGAAGCGGCACAGAAACTGTCGTGCATCAGTGCCAGTAGTCAGCAATGTGCACCTGCTGTCCTTCAGCACAGTGAGTGTTTGTACATTACTAGAAGAGCAGTCTAATAGGTGATTTGTATGCATGTGAAAGTTATTTGTTGCTTCAGTACAGTGACACTAAGCACGGGCTATAACTGATAATAAGAGACCCATAACTATAGAAGTTTGTGTCAGTTGAGGATCCAAGTTCTTGTAGAGGCAGATAGAGCAAGTCCTAGTACTTGTTAGTGGCACTTGCTAGCTTTGTTGAGATGTGTTTAAAAGGCCCTGGAATAATCTTTGCAATACAGGTAGTATTGTGGGTTATAGCACTGGGGATTGTAAAAATGCAATCGCATTTCTGTGTTTCCCCAAGTCCGTTTAGGTCTTGTGTTAGTCACAACTAGCTAGTTGTTTGGATCCTGGAGAGCAGGTGTAAAATCAGCTTAGGTGGATTACAGGAGATCTTAAAGACCTGTAATGTCTGCATAGAATCATCTGGATTCAGCAGACCTGTATATTTAAATTGGCATATACAGAGCATTTCCACCCATTTAGAGAGCTGGCTCAATGTGGAGTTCACCTTCAGTATAGTTTCTTAGCTACAGTTTTGTCATGTGTGGTGTTGTGTTTGGGTGTTTTTTGGGGGGAGGGAGAGTTTGTTCTGGCATTTTTCTGGTTGGTTGGTTTGTATGGGGGTGTATGTGGATTGTTTTTATTACCAGATAATCTGGACTTAAAACACTATGTTGGTGTTGT